TCTTTTTTTTTTTTTTTTTTTTTTTTTTTTTTTTTTTTTTTTTTTTTCAATATATTAATGATTCTATTGTATTTGCATTTATATATTTATTGTAATTAAGAGGACCACAAGTTTATTAGTGTTTGTGCACTATCACGTGCTATCCTCAATAAATAAAGTCTTATTATTATTATTATTATTATTAGAATGTTAAGCCATTATACCATGTCGTCTGGTAATTTTAATCCACACACACACAAGATAAAGGCAAACTAACACAGTCCTCAAAAAACTCATCAGGGGTTAGGTTTTCCTCCAGTCTGATCTATTTGCATCGCAGCTAAGCGCGTGGAACGCGCACATCTACGCAAGTAAATACGGCATCGTGATCACTCACAATAGCTGCAGATAAATCTGATATAGCGAGAAGTATAAAAAAATTTATTTCAGATTCTTCTTACACACTCATAAAGCAAGAAAAATTTATGAGAGAATTGCAGGAATCAAGGCAATGTGGCTACGCATAGGTATTTCCACGAGCACGCCTACAGACACGAAGGAAAGGTATTCATCCACTCAGAGACACACGAAACTCAACACATTATGTTACCGAAACCTGGAAATTTATGCAAAAGTTTGATCTTGATATTTGCACGTCCTTGCTTGATCAAAACCCTCTTCACCAAGAATCTCGTTATTATCGTAAAGGGTTGTTCGTCGTCATGTGAAGCAACAGGAATGAAAGATCGTGGTTACTAGGCGATGAGCTCGAAATTCCTGGGCTTCCAAAAACAACCATGACCAAAGTATTGAAATGTATGAACCGGAGGCCCTCAACACAAATCGTAGGGCGTCTTCTACAAGAGTTGGTAACAAAGAAGGAGGACATTTCAGGCCTGATAGCCTTCGTATAATGGTTTTCGCTATTACACTAACAGAGGAAGAGTACTTAACATCGGTTATTCGTTAGAGAGATGCAGATTAGATAGCCTCCTTCAGCTTAGATAATCTTTGCGAAATTTACCCAGGCNAATCCTAAATCCCTAAACCCTATATCTCTAAATATTTTGACCTATTATTTTCACACATTTGTTAACTCATTATGCTTAGCATTTGTGCCAAGTTTGCACCAAATCGGTGATTAGACCATCTTCGCCCCTGCTCGGTTCTGCCCGGTTTTCTTGTGGACACGCTCTTAAATTACGTAGTAAAATCAAGAATGTGTTATCTTTGAGACAAATATCTGTGATGGAGTGATTATAACTATTTGTCCCTGATGGTGGAACAGTGATTAGCTAGACACTAATGCAGTTTATTTTCTTTGGTAATTATTGGCATAACAGAAACTAACCAACCAATATTTTCTACATATTTCCTTTCATGTATAGTTTTTATTACAATTTAGTCAGTCATTATCATTTAGTTTCAATATTAAATATTAGTAACGTAGGCCTTCACAGATGAAGGGCCACACCTTTTATGTGGATATACTGTGAATGAACCGTTGTTATTATTATTATTATTATTATTATTATTATTATTAAATAGCACTTTGAAGGCTACCAGCTGACGAGCTGACGAGCTGACAAGCCCCTGAACTATCTTTAAAGGTATTTTAGAAGTCTTCTTCTCGGAACTTTAAGGCAGTACATATGGCGTTCGGAAAAACTTTCTAACTCCGTAACTTTTCTCTTTTTCCGCCTATGAAGTCGACGGTCGATATTTCCCCATTGAAATTGAATTCTCTGGTCACCGACCACTCTGACTCCAAATCAGACATGACGTTCGGATGAACGATCACAAGCTTATAATCTTAACTCGTCCTACCATAAGACGCTCACACTGCAGGCTACTGTGTAGCGGGGGTGGGCGAACGAGTGCTCGGTAATTTTTTTTAAGCGAAAAATGGCCGCCATCCTAGCTTTTAATGGCCGCGGAGGGCTGGGGAGAGAAAGTAATTTTTACCATGGGGGTGAGTGTCAGTCAAAAATAAGGAGAAGGGCGGGTGGGGGAGTAAATATTTCGCTTTTGCTCCGCCCCCTACCCTACCGTCCACTCTGATTCCAAATCAGATATGAAGTTCGGATAAACGATCACGAGTTTATAATCTTAACTCGCCCTAAAATAAGACGCCTACACTGCAGGCTACTGTGTGATTAGAATATTCTCATATCGGCGCTATCTTCAGACCTACCAATGACTCTTCGTTCTTTAATTTGGAACATCTCAAGGTGTGATAAGCTAGACATGGTTGCAACCAAAGAATATTCTCCTAATGGGCGACTTCGATTCTGACTTTTTACAAAGACAATCCAACAAATAAACTTAATTGTTGGCGAGCAGCATTAATATCTATCATCAAAGTGACTCGTGTAGTGCAGCAAGAGATCAGCGTTTTTGGGTTCCAGATATGGTTACGTCTTAATTTCGAGTTGTTAAGTAGTTTAGTACCAAGGAGTGTAAGCATGCCATTTACAGATGAGTAGCAAGGGGCAAGGGTCTAAATTACGTCTTATTAATAATTGCTATAC